TATATATAAAAGAAACCAAAAAAGCTACATTGTAAAGCGATATAAAATACTAAAAACAGGAATATGTCTGTATTGAGTTTTGCCATGAATTAGATCCTGTAAGATCACATTAAATGGAATCATATTAATTTCAAGGCTTTTCATTTCTAAGATGATTTTAGTGTAAATCTCAACGTTAACAGGCAGCGGGCGATATGCATTCCTTCAAGGAACGCTTTTAATTTGTATGTTTCTGTAAACAGTGCCATCTCTTGAGCACCTTAATAACTAATTCATGCATGCACCCCCCACCCCAAGCACCTCAGCCTATGTTAGCCAAAGAAATGTCAGCACCTGGCAATCAGAAAATGTATTTCTATGCACCCATTATCACTGTTCCTTTGTTAATGATTTTAGCGTATTAAAGAGGACTGTGCACACAAGTACGAATCAGATTAATCCTCCTCTGCAGCAGGGCCTCATTATTTGTCCAATCTTACTTATGTTTGTTATTAATTGTGCACATTCCTAGAACCATTTTTTAATCTGCCCTTTAATTAAAACATTTAAACAGGCATGGCTACCTGGAAGAAAAAACCCTCCCGTCTGCTGATAAAAATTCTCACTTACATCAATTATTTCCGCGGTAAATGAGAAAATGCTTCTTGAGCAACTGTTATCATTTTATGTTCAAACTGGATTCAATTAGCACAAGCCAGTCGAGCATCACCAGCCATGGATTTTGCTCTTTTGATGAGTGCGAGGAGGGAAATGACAAAGCAGAAGTTTGGACGGTTGAGCTTCTTGTAGAGAGGGACGTTTGTCACTGGAGCTTGAGAAATCTGAAAATAGAAAATAACTTAGATGCCACCTTTAAAAAGGTATTTTTACTGTGATTTTATTTGCAAGTGCCATGCCTTTCAATGCGTTTTATGCCTCTGTGTGTATTTCTGTTCGCACATGCTTTTGTGCGTGTGTAAGTCCTCATGCACGCACATGCTCTCTGTTTAGAGCGCCTGAATGAAACACATAGTGTCTCATTTGTTTCGTTTGCGTGCGCCCCGACTCCTAATCTGGCCCTTAAAGACATCTGTCACCAGCGATCACTGTTGTTTTGTCATGCTTCATAGCAGGCCCAGAGGGAGCAAGGCAGCCCAAGGTCTGCCATTTATATCAACCAATGTTTTTTAGATTGGACCTGACACAAATAGTCTCGTTGCAGCCGCTTGTTGGAGAATTTCATTTTCAGGTGAAATTCTTGGCAAAACTGGAGAGGGGATTTCACAGTACTCAGTTCTTTTGGCTTTAGCTTGTATTCAGCTGTTCTCTATGAAAAAGCACCACCAGTAAACATGACAGACATTCAAGGAAAGATAAATGTATTCACTTCAAATCTGCACCCACTCTCTTTGTTCCCTTGCATTTTAAAAGGATATATGTCCTGGGCCTACTGGAAAGTCTTGTCAGTGTGTGTTCATGAGGGGTTTTTTGGTTATATTTTGCTTTTCTTGACTGATTGCATATGATCGGTATGTACGCTATAAGTTGTTTTGTGCGTAGGCAGGCTAAGGATTAGGTATGAGGTTATCAGAGCTGACGGTTTGGACAAACTTGTTTGGCCAGTTCCGACAGGTTCAGCACAAAAGTTTAAGTAGGACTGTGTGTGTGAGAGAGGGCGAACACTCGCAAGCATTCACCGTGCATACTGTGCAAAGAAGAGGAAGGGTTAGAAAGAGGTTTCAAGAAGGTGCAGCCTGGTTACACAACGCATCAAACCAAAAATGTTTTGAATAAATTAAAGGCCTGGAATTCCTTGAAGGAATGAATTTCGCTTTTTGAGTTTCACATCAGTGTTTTAGACTAAGATCATCTATTGTTGAGAAATTACAAAGTTGCCGTCGTTTTGATCAAAACTTTCAAATAGTATGCTCAACCTCATACATAATTGCAAAATATCTGCTCAGATTATGTGAATGACGCTCAGCTACTAATACCACCTCAAACTTTAGCTTATTGTCTCTAAGATTGACTGAATTATAGTCACATTTGTGTTGGCTAATGTTGACTAGCTGTGGCGACCATCTTGAACTGTGGTAACTATAAAACACTAAATGATGCCACCGTGACATTTTAATCAGAATCTCAATGCTAAAATTTTACACAAAGATATTGCATATGTGTTGTGGAAAAACTGTTGGCTACAACCACGCCATAGTTTATCTCAACATTTGTAAAACTAATTGAAGTTTAGTCATTTCCGTGTTTTCTGAGGTCAGTAAGATATGGCAGCCATCTTTAATTGATTTGTCTCTATGTTTATGTGTTGGTGCAGTAAATGATAAATGGACTGTACTTATATATCAAAGCACTTTACAATCTGTGCCTCATTTACCCATTCATACAGCACTCTACTTCATCTCTACAAAACTAATTGAACAAATCATTCTGAAGAGACTAATCAGAGCTTTATCAATCTTTTCATCAAATATGCTCACGTGTGGTTTTTACTTTTCTCTCTGTTTGCTCCTGCAGCACCCCTACCCATCTGAAGAGCAGAAGAAGCAGCTAGCCCAAGACACAGGCCTCACCATCTTACAAGTAAACAACTGGTGAGTCAAGATTTGCGCTCGCCCTATCTCCACCACCAGCATCGCTCTGCCTTTTATTTTCAAAAGCCTTAGCCTTCCCTCTACCCACCAGCCATGACGGCTAATGCTCCTAAAGTGTGAAAACCGTTTATGTTCATCATATATAGACACACAGGGGTGCACAAATAGACGTACACACAGAAAACCTTTGTAAGGTTATTATTTTTAAGCTACCGGGATGTTCCGGTGTTATCGGTACAGTGTTACTAGCTAAGTCGGTGATCTTTGTGGTCGGATGCATATGTATTGAATGGGATATATTTAAGGTAGCAGACACAGATCATAAGCTACCCCTACAGCCCCCACACCCAACCCATTCATCCAAAACCTTACCTAGCACTGCCACTGGTGCATCCACAACAAGCAAAAAACTGCCTTCCACCCCCTCCCCGTTTTACACCAGCTATAGGGTGGATTAAGGTTTTGGTGGCCTGGCCAGCAGGGCCTTTGTAGATGGCTTAGCACATAACTGGAGGTGGTGGATTAAATAAAATGATCACAGAAGCAAAGAAATGATACAGGAATTACTTATCAAAATACTAGCCCAGGTTTTATCTGGGGCTTAATTTTGTTCAGTACATTCTCAGGGTGATGTTCAGATTAATTGAACTGACAGCTTCCTTTCAAAATTCTGGGAAGGTATTTGCACGGCTTTCAGGTCTTACACAAACTTAATTATATGGAACCCCATTTTATCATTCTAATTCCATGTAGCGGGGGTTCTATTTACAAATGACAAGTCTGTGCCTTTTATTCACAGCTTTCCTTAATATATCTATCAAAGTGGGTTCATTTACAAAGTGCTCTATCTGTTGGATACAGGCGGGCCGACATTAACGAAGCTTTTAGGTTTATCAGACTCGCAGCCTGACAAGCCACCCGAGGGTCAATTGATTTTTTTGGGGTCTGTGATTCATTTTTTTTTCCTCTCTCATTTTTCCTGGCTCACAATGAGAAACATGCCTGGAGAATTAGCCAGGTTTGTCTGCCTTATCTATCAGCCCCCTCCCTCAACCAACACCCCCAACACCATTGCAACCTAAAATGCTCTGTCTCCAACACACCCCTTGCTTTATTCCCTTACAGCCAGGGGAAGTCAAGCTACTTAAATTGGCCACAGGAACCGTTGTTATCAGACTTTAATGCACCCTACAGTGTGGATAGCATTTCAATTACACCAGTAACCAAAGATTAGCCCCCGCTTTGCCTGTTTCATGCCTCATGCCACGTTGTGCACCTTACCTACAGGAGCAGAAAATTGAGTTGCCTTGCCTATGTCATGGTGATTAATGCAAAAATACTCAGCTAACCTGGGAGGGGATAGAAAGAGGAATAGATAGACACAGATATAGAAGGATTCTCTGTCTTATCACTGGCCATGAAATTCAAGTCCCAGGTTCATTTAGTTCAGAAGCTTCTTACACGGTGCCACATCCTCATGAGATATGTCTCTTCGTACATTTGCACATAAAAACAGAGGGCCAGTGAGCCGAGTATTAATGTTGCTCCAGCTGTGATAATAAAAACACAACAGGAATCAAATTGCACAAATAAATTAAAGAGGAGGCCGAAGAGGCTTGGGCTCTGCAAGTCTATCTGTGCTAAACTCTGGCTGTTGTCAACACAGGATGCTTCCACATTACTGGCTGTGTTACAGCGAAGAGGAGACGAGCAGATACGTCTTTTCATTTTACATTTTTCCTTTTCAACCCTGGTCGTAATATTTTCTAACGCAGTTGAGTGGAAGAAAACATGGCAATTAAATTCCTGTTAAAAAAAAAAAAAAAGTTCTTCAAATTCCTGGCTGGCCCCTTGCATTGTTCTGCGTCTCCCTTTGATGCTGCAATATTACCGGGCAAAAAGTGGCAGAGAGAGACAGAGACAGACGGAGGGAGAGATAGAAGAAGAGGATGGGGGAGAGGGAGGGGACGGACACCGTCTTCGGTTTCCAGCGCGCTCCCTCGAGGAAAAGATGTGCTGAATCAGAGCTTTGTCCGCCGGCACAATCGCAGCCCAGTGAGGGCACAACGGTGCTCTGTGTGATAGTCAATAGACAGTACATCTCACTCTCTCCCCTTTGGCCCCGTTCAACCTCCTCCAGAACCTTACCTTGACTTTACCTGCAGCTCACCTGTACATCCAGAAAACAAAACCCGGATGGTTTAAAACCTTTTGTCTGAATACCAGTGACACACTCCACCTGCTCCTGTATCCACTCTATATCATTAGCTAACGGCCTCACCTGCTCGTAGCCCACACCCCATTAGCTGTCAAGTGTTAATAAAGAGCAAAGGAAGAGGTTAAAGTCCACAGTATCACCGTGCTGGTGCTGAGCAGATGAGGAGGACTTGCTTTTTTCTGTTAATACTGATCTATAAGTGTTTGTATACGTGCAGAAAAATTACCGGACACCATTAAATAAATAGCACGAGGCTTTTTGTGTCACCTATGAGACAATGGATGTTGTGCTAACACATCTGGGGTGTGGTCTGATGTGTTATTGCATTAGTTTGAGACAGCAGTTAAAGGTGAGGGCCATGTGGCATGGCGGGGCAGTAAAGTGGGTGCACTCTGAAGCGTTCACAGTTTACAGTATCTTGCCGTGTATTTGCCTGTCTCAGCAGCTCCTGCTATCAGTCGGCGCTAAATGGAGCTTGACCGAATACTTTTATGTCTCAGAGTTGGACCCAGCATGATGTACCCTCACTCACTGCCATTACCCCCCCCCCACACACACACACACACACCATCTATCCTGTAATTTACTACTGCTGCCATGCTAATATATTGAATACAGACATATTTTTTTACATGAGTTGGCCAGTGACTGAAAGAAACAGCATAAAAAAAATTAAAATAATAAAATCATAGTGTTTTTATTTCCTCATGTCGCAGACAATCATTTGAACAAGTCAGAGAACGATCATGTCTGTTGCTGGCATCTAGAAGGACTGGCTGCTGTGCCGCTGGTGCACTAATAACAATAAAGAGGGCACTAAGCCACGCTCTATTTTTACTTCTTTGCCTCTTCACTACAGCCTGGGGGGGGGGACTACACACACACAAACACACGTGCACACACGGGGGAGAGTCTCTAATTAGCAGCAGAAAGGAATACAATGAGTGAGTTATTAAGACATTGGGGCGGATCGCAGCCAACCTTTGCCCCCTGTCTGCGCACAGGTCACATGATAAGGGAAGGATATCCGCCAGACGACGGCGCCAAGCAGCCTGTGCCCGTTGAGGAGATGGAATAGGTTCAATCTCTGAGCCTATCAGGGCACGGCGCACTCATTGTCTCTCTTTATTTTACATATTTATCAGCTGACGCTCCACCTTACTGAACATCATGTAACCTTATTCTAAAATGCATTACAAACATTTGCCTCCAGGTGATTGCCAAAAGACATGCATCTTCAGTTACTGCCTTTTTTTATTATTAACTATTTATGTAGCTTTTTCCCAGATTGTGAGCTGTGCCATAGCACAGCTTGTACATGCACTGATCACGCTAAACGTCCTACTTTTTAACTCTGCACATGAGGTTTCCCATCACCATTCCGATCCTCTTTAATCTGCTTCCCTGGATCCCTTTAGATTTCCTCAGTTTCAATCTCCTAACTAAGGTTCGTAGAAACCGTGCTGCAGGTTTACACACTCAACTTTAATGATGAAGCACATTTGTTTGCACTATGTGAGAACAAGACAGAGCAAAAAAATGTGAAATTGGTTCCTGCACTTAGAAAAGTATTTTCCACCCTCGTCCAGTGAGACACTTAGGAACACTTGCTTTCATGATTTTTTACGGGTTTTTTTTTTTTACGATTCTCTGGGTTGGCAGTCAAGACGATTATGAAATGTAAAACAATAACTAATATTTTCCAAATGAAACATAAAGTTATGAAACTGGCCTTTTTTTCCCACCACATTCTTTTAGTATGTGAAAATCATGATTTTCACACAGAGAATTTGAGGTCCCTTTACCCCTCCATGATTTCTACATTCCTGCTCGTTACCCAGTTTTTCTTCTTGCTGACGGAAGTTGCTGGTTATCTTTCTAACTTTGACCCAGATGGAAATGTCATGCCTTTTTTTGGCTCCAATCAGGGACTCCCAGAAGTGGCCATCTCATGCCCCTGGCTTTCTAAATATACAGCTGACGTGCATGAGGTTGTGGATGTGTTTGTGTCTCTGGTGTGCATGAATTAGTGTATATGTGCAACTAACAGAAAAAACTATCAAGGCTCTGCCAACTTAGGCATCATGATCCCTCTCATTTAAGGGCCACTAATTGGCAGTTAATTAGCAGAATTGACTCTGTTGTCAGATCCCAAGTGCTAGCCCCCCTACGATCACCCTCAACCTGCTAGGTTCATTTGATCTGGCAGCTTTCTTGATGCCGTAATAATAATAGTCCCATTTTATCCGTTTTTTTAATGGGAAAACATAAAAAACAACAACAACAGCATTCTCATTATTGGCAGGGCAGAAAAGCACAGGCTCCCTGTTGTAGCAGGTTTCATTTTATTTTATTTTGCTCAGCAATGATCCAAATAAAGACTCACAGACTCACGCTTTACTCACAGCCATGGGAGCCTTAAACAGCTGATGCTAATGTGCGCCACAGTGTTTATGTCTGTTCCGAGTGTACAGCATGTGTTGCATGTGAGTACAGGAGCCTTGTTGAAATTTTCTGCGTAATTAACAGGGCCCACTCTCGTTTTATCGGGCACTGGAGGCACGTTGGGTCATAACGTGGCGTGGACACCCACCAAGGCTGTAGCGCAGCCCAATACCCACCTCTCTATGAGCGTGTACATGAAGAACAGGTGGTGTTCTATTAAAACTGGCATGTTGCACAGTTGTGCACAAAAACTGAACTTCTTTTTACTTGTTTTCCCGTTACAAGTTCAAGACTCACCAAGGCTGTGGAAATCTCCCAGCTAAGATGGCATGCAAGG